TGCTGATACTCCATACTGATGCATGAATTTCTTAAAAAAATTACACCTTGCTTAAATCACAAACATACATTTAATCAGCTTTGTTATAACAAAAAACTAAAAGAGTAAAATTTCCCCACTACGCTTAACACCCCACCCCTTAAAATTTTAAGTAATACACTGCAATTTAAAGTTACTCAGCTAGTATAGGGATGAAGAAGGCAGGAAAAAAGTTATGAATACATACAGAGCGAAATGGTTAAAGTTTTTTTTAAATCTTTTCCCCTTAAAGCTAGCTTGTTGAGTTGTTTTGGTTTTTTTTTATAAAAAAAAAAGCAATCCTCTCACCTGTGAGGATCGTCTTCCTTTCCTCTTGTAGTCTTCCACATCTCTCTCTTCCTTAAGAGCAGCCATTTTGGAAGGGTACTCTAACTCAGCTTTTCTCTTAGATCTAGGAAACCTAGAAAACAGGTTGGATAAGTCAGTACTTACCCCAATTCCTGTGCAGCGGGGCCTTCTCTGGCTGCAACGCACGGGTGTGGCTTTACAGAAGGAAATTGGGGGGGAGAAAAAAAAAAAAAGTACTTGAAAGGGTAAAAATCCTCAGCTTATTTCGCTCGTGATTAAGAGCTGCAGAAGGAACATCTGCTATCCTAATAAAGGTCTTTTTACAACTGTTGGAATAACTAGGTGCAACCTAAAGCTAAAATCTGCAGAAAACAACCTATGTCGATTACTGTCTTACATAACTATCACGAATACAACTGGTACAGCACAAGCAAATTCTACCATTGATACTCAAACCCACTACATAAATCAATTTCTCTCGATTTTAACCCCCAAAATATTTAACATTTCACAAATATTGTCTATTAGAATTATCTTATGCGTAACCTATTGTAATCAGTGACCCAGCATCCTACAAAGCCAGAACACTAGAAGTTAAGTTAAACATTTTCTGTATTGAAAAATATTTTCCACTAACACCAGTGCAAGCATGCTTTACTGATTCTATTCTTGCAACATCAGAAATTTTAACACTTGATCCTCAGCAATCTGTAGCACTGGCCATCTGCATTACTCTTGCTTCCAAGTGATATATTTGATTACTACCCTGTACTATTTACATGCCCAGCTTTTCAAAATAAATGTTAACAAAGTTAACATATCATTACAAAAATCAAGCATTTCACAAGAGAAGTTCAGTGAATGAATCCACATCTTAAGCATTCAAACAAACAAAAAAATAATCACATTCCCTATAGCCTAAATTATTTCAAGTTTTCATTACTTACTATACCACATCAGTGTCTTTGGCTACAATTCATCACTACTTTGGATGTTTCTTGGAAACTTTTTTACAGTAGCCAAAATAGGATACCCTCAACTAAATAACATGCTTTGTTAAAACTATATTTGTGCTGCATGAAAATCATTGATATTTACAAGATCAGGTATATTTTTTGTGGGTTTTTTGTTTGGGTTGGGGAGGGTGTTAAAGTTTTATTCCTGCAAATACTACATAGGGAAAGGCATGCAGGTCTCTACTAACGACCAATATGTACTGTTATTCAGAGTGGAAATTATTATTTAATATAACTCCATGTTAAAATCCACCTTCAAATTAAACTCAACTGTGAAATCATGAGTACCATGATTTAATGCTTTAACAGTTTTAGAGGTTTTATGAAGTAACATCAAAGTGCTTGTAATATCTTCAGTTCCTCTCTACATAATGTTAAACTTGCTCTTGAAATCTTTTAAATCAAACATCAGTTTGACTCAGGAGGTATTAGAATACTAAGTGTTTCAACTGAGCTGTTCAATTCCTTAAGTCATACAGGGGATGTATGGAACAGAATGTTAACAATTCAAGGGCTTTTAAAAAAGCTGCTGTATGGCAAAATAAAACCTTGGGAATTGTTAGGGAGGAAAGGGATAAGCCTATTAAAATACTTTTTTTAAAGTAATGAAAAGTATGCAATCTGTCTCTGATTTTGTCACCTGCTGCTCTCTCCAGCGAGGGTCCATGCTAGCCAACACAAAGCTCTCAGGCATGGTCTCGGCCACAATGGCCTCTGAAGGCCATGACGGTCAAAAGAGAATTGTCTGCTTGCTAATACACACCATCAGCTGAAGTTGAACTTCAGCCCTACTCCTACTTCACCCCATAGAAAGTTGTTAAAAATATCAGTATGTCAATATTAGCTTTTTTTAGGCTTAGCATCAACAAAATATTAAACTCTAAAAAATATTCAGAACAGTTTTACCAACTGAGTTAAATTAGCACTGAAACAGTTGTATACTACACCTTAACAACAGAGCTGAAAGTAGCCTCATTATAACCAACAGATTTGCTCTGAGAAGTCACTAGGAGATGCCTCATTACTCAAGGAAACTTATAATGCTACTGTATCTCTTATAGAGACAAGTAGTAAGACAGTGGAGGCAAAACAGACATGCTCAAGATGGAAGTTTACCTGTCCAATCAGAGAGTACTATGGACATGTATTGGTCTTTTTGGTAAATAAATGAAGTTGGACCTAATGTGTATACAGTATATCATGACAAACCTAAGCGTTAAAGCAGCAAAACAACAGATTTTCAGCTCAAAGCACGTTGGCAATTTATTTGCAAAGCCAACAGGAACGTCTGCTGGGAAAAAAATAAGAAGATATTAGCTTAATAACTTATGTGATGGGTTTCCAAGCTTTACTAAAGTATGTTCAAATGCTTTGAACCAATGAGCCCTCCCATTTGTCAAACTATTCAACAACCCTGAAGCAGCTAAAACAATTGCTTACATGGAAAACAGTTATTTTTAGCCGTTTTTCTAAGGGATCCAGTTTCTTCTCTGCTTTTACTGTAGGAACAAAACTTGTGTGACCTATTGGTTTCTCTGCTCTCAATTCTCTAAGGTTTCAGCTTGCAATGAAGGGGCTCAAGAGAAAAAAGAAAAAAAACCCCAACCCTACACATTTTTTGCTCACCGTGCTTTACTTGAAATACTTGAACAAAACGCCAGAGGTTTGGAGGAGAGAGGAATGAAAAGCAAGGGGGGGATATCATGACATTTCCCTCCAGGTAGGCTGTGGATAATTGCCCCAGTGTGCATTACACCTCGACTTCACTGAAGTTGAGAGAAATTTGAACCAAGGTTTGTGCAGGGCTGCTTCTTCGTGTTGCTCACCAGGATCATGGTAAGATGCCACCGAAGGAAGCGGCTCTTGTGCACGTGTGGCTGACGGAGCGGAGAAAGGGAAATGGGAAGCTATTTGACAGAGCTGTGCCTTCCCCCACCTCCCTGGGCAGCAGAAGCTCGCTACACGTGTCAACTCCCCTCCGGAAGGGGGTGAGGGATATCACGGAGCTGCTGCCATGTGTACCAGCATTCCTCTGCGAGAAACTTGAGTTCTGCACTAAGCGACCTTCATGCTTTAAAAGTCTGTTCCCAGGAAAATGAGTGGGAAAAGAATAACCCCAGCGCACCACTCCGGGTAGCTTACATGGCGGGCCACACAGGGAGGGCAGAACAATGACACACGCGTGTGCGGGCCTCGCTTCTCCCCACTCTCGCCCGAATACGCGACTAAGCGTTTCGGTATCCCCCAGGATAGCCGAGGAGGGCTCTGCTACCCACAGCCCTGTCCCCAGCGGCGGGGGGGGCCTCCCCTCCCCCCACCCGCCCACGCTCTGGAGCGCAGCGAAATGGCGGCCGGCGCCGCTGTGCCCGAGGGGGGCCGCACGGCGGAAGCGCAGCCTCTCCCG